GTCAATAACAATAAAAGAATACTAATATTATAAAAATAATAATTTTAAAGTTCATTAAACTGTTCAAGGTATAAACCTTAAAGTAATTAACTTGCAAGAAAAGTAGCAAGCTGTCAAGGAGAAAAATGCTTTCGAGCGTAAAGGGTTAGAATCGAATCACAAGAGCGTACAAATTTTTCATCAAACAAAGAAAATGACAAAGTGGTTGGCTGTGCACGCGCATGCACGATTCGTGGTCATGATCGAAGGTGTTCCGTGACTCGACCGCGTTAATTAACGCTTTTACAGCCCTTAGGTTCAAGCTTCACTGGAATTGCTACCGGGTTTTCCTACATAAACCTCGTACGACACCTCGAAAGAACACGATCGTGACGATTCCATTCGTAGAATTATTATTCGAGCATGAAGTCGAACACCGAGAGCAGTTATTCCTCTTTTTCGAGCTTTAGGTAAAACACTTATCTCCTTCGTTTTGTCGTGAAATCGATTACATAGAGTGTATTGTAATTGACTATATTTCAGAATTCGTATAATCGGTTTAAGATGGGATTTATTATAAATTATATGGTGAGGGAGAGTTGAATATGATAATGGAATAGATTGGAATTGCATTGATAGTTTCACTGTTGTTGGGAAACTTTGATTCTGCATTTATAAATACAGAAATTAATTGCAAACTTATAATTTAAAAATTTGAAAATTTCTAAACACATAAGTATATGAATTCTCGGTTTCTAAAATCTGCAGTTGTAAAACTACAAATTCTCAATTTTCAAATTAACAGATTGTTCAATTATTGAATTATAATTCGACAAATTATTAAGTTATTTGGATATCAAATTTCTGAATCATTAAATTATTCGATTATAAAATTATCGAAATATTGAATTATTAAATTGATGAATTACTGAATTGTTGAATTATTGAATTACTGAATTACTGAATTACTGAATTACTGAATTACTGAATTACTGAATCATTGAATCATTGAATCATTGAATTACTGAATTACTGAATTACTGAATTACTGAATTACTGAATTACTGAATTACTGAATTACTGAATTATTGAATTATTGAATTATTGAATTATTGAATTATTGAATTATTGAATTATTGAAGTATCGAATGATCAGATTATCGAATTTCAGTATTGTAGAATTATTGAAGTATCGAATGATCAAATTGTCCAATTTCAGTATTATAGAATTATTGAATTATCAAATTATCGAATTAGCCAATTATCCAACTTCTGAATTATCGAAGCACTGAATGATCAAATTACCGAATTATCGAATTATTGAACTATCAAGTTTTCAAGCCTCCAAATTTCTAAATACCCCAATACTAAAATTTCACAAATTTCTAAGTCATCAAATTGTCAGACTCCCATATAAAAAAATTTCTAAATTTTCATGTCTCCATTTTCCAATATTCTTAACATTTTCTGAATTTCCGAGTTTGCAAATAACTAAAATCACAAACTAAAAAATCAGAAAATATTTTCATCCAAAAACTAATATGCGGTCTCAACATTTTCTATTATCGCCATTATTTCCCTTGGGAACGTACAAAATGTAATCTTCCTTGATTACATTATAGGTACGTAGATTCGTTAATACAAAATGGAGTCCCTGTTGTCTACATATATATTGATTCGTTAATACAAAATGCTGACTCTCTTGATTATTCGAACGTAGATTTATTAATACAAAATGGAATTCCTATTGACTACGCATATGTTAATTCAAAAATACAAAATGGAATTCCTATCGACTACGCATATGTTAATTCAAAAATACAAAATGGAATTCCTATTGACTACGCATATGTTAATACGATAATACAAAATGGTGTCTCTCTTCCTTTACTTTGTGTCGAGCTCATGCGCCACCTCAAGAGTTGACATCTATCTCTAAATTCGTTAATATAAAATGAAATCAAACTTCATAACACATATGTTATGTATGTAAATTCGTTAGCATAGAATGAAGACTTTGTTGACTATACATTGTACAGATTTGTTAATACAAATTGTATTCTCTTGAAGCTAATGTTAAACACTTTTACATGGAAAAACATGTTTACTTTCTACAGAAAAATTTTTCCGCCTCGAGCTGCTTGATAGAAAAGTGTCCTGAATTCTTATAGAGAAAACTTTCATGAGAGTTATGAATTCTTACATGGGACAACTTTTATTCCCTTAGGATGTTCGAGGATGAAACTTGCAACATCGTGGTATCGTTGCAGGAGAAATAGGTTTCTCTTGAATTGCAAAGAATCGGCAGAATAATTCATCCTTTCTGGATTTAATGAATTAATTGCTTTCGTGAATGACAGGAGCATTGTGGAAAGTTGTTTTATTACTTTCAATGAATTTGTATGAATGTTATTGTGTTGGAGGAATTAAAAGGTTATGGGTTTGAAAATTTGGAAATTTGGGAATTTGGGGATTTAGGGATTTAGGGATTTAGGGATTTAGGGATTTGGGAATTTAGGAATTTGGGGACTTGGGAATTTGGGGATTTGGGAATTTGGGGATTTGGGGATTTGGGGATTTGGGGATTTGGGGATTTGGGGATTTAAGAATTTAGGAATTTAGGAATTTAGAAATTTGGGAATTTGGGGATTTAGGAATTTAGGAATTTAGGAATGTGGAAATTTAGAAATTTGGGAATTCGGGGATTCGGGGATTTGGGGATTTGAGGATTTTGGGATGTGAAGATTTATGGGTTTGGAGATTTGCAGATTCAGGAATTTAAGAACTTAGTTATTTGGGGATTTGGGTGTTAACAAGTTAGAGTATTTGGAAATAGGTGATTTGGGAGTGTGGAAATTTTTTAATTTTGCTATTTTGATATTTAGAATCTAGAATTTGGGAATTTGAGAATGTCAAGATTTTGGGATATGGATATTTGGAAATTTGAGAATTTGTAAACTTGAAATTTGAGAACTTTGGAATATTGAAATGTTACACTTCATGAATTCAAGAATTTCTAAATTTGGAAATTTGGAAGTTTGTAAATTTGTGAATTTGAGAACTTCAGAATTTAAGGATTTCGAATGTCTAAATTTATGTTTCTGGAAATTGGGGATTTAGAATTTGTAAACTTAGGATTTTGGGAAATTTTTAATTTGGTAATTTAAGAATTTAGAAATTTTAAAATGTTTAAATCTCGAAATTCAAAAATTCTAAAGCCCCCAAATTTACGTACTAAATTCCCCAAAGTCGAACATAGGCAATGTAAGATCTTCCCCCACAATTCCTATCTCAAAGCAATCCCACATCACACTAGAATATAAAATAATCCACATTTTTCAAATTCTAATTTTTTCCCCCATTTCTTAACCGCAAAGTAACTTTTCGAGTACTAAATAAGTTGATGGAATTTCACGAAATTGCGTTCAAGCAGCTCTCGTAGCTGTTCACCGTATCAGCTAAGCAGGAGCCCTATAATTTCGCTAGTAAGTCGGTCAGTTGCGATTCAACTGATACTCGCATGGACAGAGTATATCTTGTTCGCAAGATTACGTGCTCGTTGGGTTATCGAACGTGTGATTTAAGGCCGCACGTACGCCAACATTCTTCGAGAAATCGAAATTCTCTCCTCTCTAAGATACACTTGATTTAACGTTTCCTCTGAAAAATCTATCCAATCGATTCTACAGATGTTGTAGAACGAATCAATTTTTCAATAAACTTGCCGATAATGGACATTTATTTACACCTTGGACGTTCAAATTACATGGTGTATTTGATGTAATTGCAGAAAATACAATTATATCGAGTATCACTATGTTCAAATGCGATTATATAAGAAATAGAGTGATATTAAATAACATTATTTTCAGAATTACATGAAGAACATAATCATATCAAGATTCATTATATAATGAAGAGATATTTGAACAGGAAGGTTATTTGATCTGTTCAGATACAATTACATGAAAAACAATCATATCAAATTTCATTATATTCGAGCAGGAAGGTAATTTGATATGTTTAGATACAATTACATGAAAAACATAATCATATCAAATTTCATTATATTCGAGCAGAAAAGTTATTTGATATGCTCAGATAAAATTACATGAAAAACATAATCATATCAAATTTCATTATATTCGAGCAGGAAGGTAATTTGATATGTTTAGATACAATTACATGAAAAACATAATCATATCAAATTTCATTATATTTAAGTAGGAAGGTTATTTGATATTCTCAGATACAATTACATGAAAAACAATCATATCAAATTTCATTATATTCGAGCAGAAAAGTTATTTGATATGCTCAGATAAAATTACATGAAAAACATAATCATATCGAATTTCATTATATTCGAGCAGGAAAGTTATTTGATATGCTCAGATAGAATTACATGAAAAATATAATCATATCAAGTTTCGTTGTATCAAATATCCTTCGTGTTCGAATGTAATGATATTAGATATGTACTTTTTATATGATTGCATTTGAACATAGTGGTATTCGATGTGATTGTATTTTTGACATAATTGCGTTTGAACATAACGGTATATGAAATGACTATATTTTTTATGTAATTTTAGCTCAACATAATTGTATTCGACACGATACTATGTTTTATATGTATAATAATATTTACAGAAAATGATATGTGAATATAATAATATCTGATAAAATGGTATTTAAAAATAATTGTACTTGACAAATGCTACTTTGACCAAAGCATCCCTTCATTTTTACCTCCAATCAAATTACACAAACAGATCCGTAACCTTTATCTCCTATTGTTTCAATACAATTACATCAGACAATCGTACACTCACCCGTCAAAATTTCTTTTTGATCACAAATTGTATAATAAATGTAGCAATACGTAGCATCACGTTCAACAATGAATTTTCGTCTCTTTTCGACACACGGCGAATTACAGAGAGGAAATTCCGAACAGCCCCTGTATTTCGTGCGGAGCACGTTCGAACGAAGCTTCGACAGAGAAATTTCCAACTTACCCATAATTCGTGACAGTAGATTGACATTCTCGGCATGTGTCCCGCGGCGCTATCGAACTACCACGACTACGAAGATCCCGCATCTAATCGATCCTGCCCGCTCGATTTTGCTTCATGACAAGGGCGAATTCCATCTAACCTACGACTCCCCAAATTTACATGTCCCGCGGTTTCACACCTCTTCGATCCTCTTCGACAACTATCCTCACCGAAGAAACACGAATTCAGTGTCGATTACGCGTCGCCATTTATCAACGACTCTTCACTTTTTCCTCGACGAGTTTTTTCCTCTTCGATAAAAATTGTGTTCTTTTTCCTTGATGAAATATTCAAGTTTGATCGGTTCGGAGATATCGGTGTTTAAAATGTAGAGTGAAGGGGTTGGAGCGGGATCGATGCCTGGAGAATATCTGAAAGTATAAAAATATTGTTTCTGAATATTCTGGAATAGAAGAGTAATCGAAGACGAATGAGATCGTTACTTGGGTAGGCCGATATTTACGAGCGGAATATGGAATATGTATAAGGGGAAAAGATCGAATGTTATCGTATTAAATCGAGAGGGTGGAATCAATCTACCTCCCTGAAATTTGTAGCTATCCAAGAATTAGTTTGGAGAAATATGGAGGTCCAAGATACGGGAAAATATTTTACGCATTCAGATATTAAGGCAGAACATTATTTATTTTTATGAAATTATTTGAGATTGAAATTAGTTATTTTTAATAAAAATGAAGTGGTCAGTTGTGAAGTATGTACTTTTTTTATTGAGCTTTTCTTACGCGATTTTTTAATTTTTATAAAATTAAATGTTGTAAATATTGTTGCATTTTTAGTTTTAATTGTTACATTATTTAGTTGGTACATTTTGGTTGAGCTGTGTGAAATAATGATACATTTTGTGAAAAAAAAAAACAAAGGAATAAATCAAAGTATATCGCTGCCAGAATATTTGCAATCTTTCGACATTTCCCAAAAAGTGCGTACGAAGAACCAGAATTTTGAAACATATAGAAAAAAGAACGATAGAATCTGTTTCAAAAATTCGACACATCCGGTCGCAAAGGAAAAAAAAGGATAAAAGTTTTATGAAATGAACCAGTCAGTAATCTGATCGAGGGAGGTGGACCAGTATTTCGCGATAGCTCGAGGCTTGCTTTAGCACACAGTTAAATCGAATTGCAACGGGCCGTAATTTATAATTGAATCTCCATTAAAAGCAGAGCACCCTGGAGCTTTTTGTGTTTCGCGTCTATTTGTACGTGAAATTTCTCGCCTCGTGTTCAGAAATGTGACGCGATTCGGCGAATGATTAAATTGAACGTGGTCGTTGAAACGACGACTTCGATCTATCGCCGAAATATAATATTTTTGGCTGAAATGTCGGAATCAAAGCCAGTGGTCTTATTACGATAATCGCGATCGCTTAACCTCTTCGTTATTATTTAAATGGAGCAGGTGTAAAACGTTTTTAATACTCACAAAATGAAGCTTGGAAGATTTATGATACACTGATGTGATCATAATACAAATAGATTATTGAGACAGATATACGTAAACAGATATACAGACATAGATAAATAAGGGTATTTACTCTTTCAATTTTTCGTTTTAATCTGGTGTCTGAAGGTTAGGTTTTTATGAAATTTTTTTCTGTGTGAATAATTAATTTAACTGAATTTGCAGGGATCACATGTGATCATCCTGACCGTCAACATTCTAATCCACTACCTTCAAGTGTCATATTGCTGTAAATTTTCTTCTGTTTGTAAAAGGAAATAGGAAAAACTGATTTAAAGAGTGAATGTAGCGATATATAAATGTAGCAAGGTAAGAGTATGAAAAAGTACATATGTGAAAAAGCACATATGTGGAAAAGTATATATGTGGAAAACTACATATGCGGAAAAGTACATATATGGAAAAGTATATATGTGGAAAACTACATATGTGGAAAACTACATATGTGGAAAACTACATATGTGGAAAACTACATATGTGGCAAAGTACATATGTGGCAAAGTACATATGCGAAAAAGTACATATGTGGAATAGTACATATATGGCAAAGTACATATGTGGCAAAGTACATATGTGGAAAAGTACATGTATGGAAAAGTACGTATGTGGAAAAGGACATATATGGAAAAGTACGTATGTGGCAAAGTACATATGTGGAAAAATACATATATGGAAAAGTACGTATGTGGAAAAGTACATACGTGACAAAGAATGAATGTGACAAACTACAAATATGGGACAGTACAAACCTAGCAAAGTACGAATGTGGGACAGTACACATGTGGGATGGTACAAACACCGCAAGGGACGAATTTGGCATAGTACAAACATGTCAATGTGCACATGTGTCAAAGTACGAATGTGCCAAAGTGCAAATGTAGCAAAGAACAAATATAAGACAGTACAAGTGTGGAACAGTACAAATGTGGAACAGCACAAATATGATACAGTAAAGAAATACATAAATATACAACTCTGCAAAGTTGTTCCATCAAAATCGTTTAAAGTTCATTATTTATAAATCTCAGTTAATAATTGAGTCCTTCACTGACACAGTTAACAGAAACTATATTGACTTCCATTAAATCGAAGATGAATAATGGGTAACTGAGATTGCCAACCTCAGAAGATGTATTACTTGCAAAAAATAAAATCTAGTGTCAGAATCAGTCTCCCCAACAACAGATTATCACGAACAAAGTTTCAGATAATAGAGATCGATTAATCTGATCTGAAAGTTTACCCCACACACTGCTCCCTGTATCCTCCTTTCCGTTCTAATGATACACATATCTAACATGATTTATGTATTCTTATGACCATAAATAACGTATTGAGAGGGAAACGGTGGAAGAATTATCATCACCTTACATTGTACATCATTGAGATTCATGTAAGTTACTGTATCACGTTCTATTAGTTAATTAATCTATGTCGTATTTCGTGAACGTTGTTATATTATATTCCTTGAATTATTTAGTTAACTTGTACTGAATTTCATGTGATTTATTATTTATATTTTATCAGTTAATTAGTTACATATGTGAACTTACATATGTGGAGTTTTGTATATGTTATATTATATTGAAGTTCAGTATATTCAACATTCAAAAATTTCGGAATATAGCAATTACAAATGTGGAAAGTTGGTAATTTAGAAACTTGCAAATATATATGTAGTAATTTTAAATTTTCAAGTTTACAAAAATTTTCATATTTCTGAATTTTTAAGGTTCCAAATTTTCTGATTGAGAAATTTAGAGAAGTAGAAATATTAGACTTCCCAAATTCCAAGCTTAAAAAATTTCAAATATAGAAATATCAGATCTCCAAATTCCCAAGCTCAAAAATTTCAAAATATAGAAATATCAGATCTCCAAATTTCCAAGCTCAACAATTTAAAAATATAGAAATATCAGATCTCCAAATTTCCAAGCTTCAAAATTTCAAAATATAGAAATATCAGATCTCCAAATTACCAAGCTCAAAAATTTCAAAATATAGAAATATCAGATCTCCAAATTTCCAAGCTCAAAAATTTCAAAATATAGAAATATCAGATCTCCAAATTTTCAAATTCAGAAAAGAAATATTAGACTTCCCAAATTCCAAGCTTAAAAATTTTCAAATATAGAAATATCAGATCTCCAAATTTCCAAGCTTAAAAATTTTCAAATATAGAAATATCAGATCTCCAAATTCCCAAGCTCAACAATTTCAAAATATAGAAATATCATGTTTCCAAATTCCCAAGCTTAAAATTTAAAAATACATAAATATTAAATCCTCTTTATTCGAAAAATACGTAAATATTATATTTCCAAATTTTCACCCGAACTCGATCACCCGCAATGATTACATTACAACCTCGCCAACAAACTATTACCGGCCTTCCACCACAAAATCCACATAATAATGCAAGAGGCTATGCAAATAAACGCATAAAAAACGATTCGATTCGCGATACGAAGCCGCACTTATTTTCCACGAATTCACTTTATCGCATCTATCGTATTACAACTGCGGCCATTTCATAAAAATATCGCGTGCATCGAGGAACAGCCAGGGGACACGTGTATATTCAGCAACCATAAATTTCTCAACGCGCGCTGTTTAAACGTGAAATTAATTTCATGGCACCCACAAGCGCCGAATTAATTAAAAACTCTTGATGCCGTTGTCGAACGGAATAACGCGATAACGTATCTCTACCAACGGAAATTTTCGCGGAAATTTAACTCGCAATTTTTTTCCTTTCGTTCTTTTTTAATCAAGGTCTCGTTTACATTGTTATACGCGAATGCAAAGTTACCGGAATAAATGCCATGATTCTGGTTAAACTTACGCTACATTAAATCGTTTTTGCTTTTTTTTTTTCGAAAGAATGTTGGAGTAATTCAGTTAATTTTGATACACGTGAAATTAACAACATTTCGTGAATGCAACTGCATTCATGCATTTGCAGTTGCAGACGAGGTCGTTTCTTATTGATTTATTAAAATTAGCATTTTGTTGTATGAATGTTTATGCAGCATGACGTTACAGTGCTTTAAACGACCCGTTTAATTGTACAATCGTAACGATCTTTTAATTTTACATACTGCATCCGTTGTTTATTACAGCTATCGCAAACCTTTATGCAGGTAACGATATGCGAATACATTATTCTTTTATGGAAATTATGTCGGGGATATCAGCCTTGAATTTTGTGCCTGACGACTTCATTCATTATGCTGCATTATAATTAATGGTTAAAATTAAAATGTGACGCGACTTGATGAATACGTCGCAAAATGTAACGCTACATGAATTTCGTGATTAAAATTTGATGCAAATCACTTTATTATTTTACTGATAGATTGATATGTTTGATAATTCCTCACAGATCTTTACAGATTTATTATACATAGAGATGTTTAGTATTTCATATTCGATTGTTTCTGGTAATTTATGAAGACGTTATTCTTTTATGGATATTATAATGAGAATATCAGTTGTGATCTTATCAATTATGACTTAGTTTATTATGTTGTATTATAGTAACTGGCTAAAATTAAAATGTGACGCGACTTGATGAATACGTCGCAAAATGTAACGCTACATTAATATCGAGATAAAAATTTGATGCAAATCACTTTATTATTTTACTGATAAATCTATCAGATTGATATGTTTGATAATTCCTCACAGATCTTTACAGATTTATTATACATAGAGATGTTTAGTATTTCATATTCGATTGTTTCTGGTAATTTATGAAGACGTTATTCTTTTATGGATATTATAATGAGAATATCAGTTGTGATCTTATCAATTATGACTTAGTTTATTATGTTGTATTATAGTAACTGGCTAAAATTAAAATGTGACGCGACTTGGTGAATACGTC